TCATTTCTAAACCTCATTCCTTCTTGCTTTTGTTTTCTAATTGTCAGAGGGGGCCTGCACTCACCAGAGAGAGCCAGCGAGAGGGAGAAAGCACCCTCAATGGGGCGTGGTCATGTCACAATCTCCTCTTCTCTGTGTGTGTGTGCGTGTGTGTGTGTGTGTGTGTGTGTGTGTGTAGTATGATTTTCAGGCTACCGGGGCTAGGATTCAAACCACGGTCTGCCAGAGCATCCGTCTTTGGCAGGGACTCTTATTTTAATTTTTTTTTTTTTGAGAGTTTTTTTGCTATAGGGTGCATGCGCTCGCCAGACAGACAGAAAGAGAGAGAGACAGAAAGCGAGAAATCATCCCCCAGGGGGGATGGCCACGCCACAATCCCTTCTCCTCTATTCTCCTCTCGGGATCTTGGGCACGCACGCACACGTGCCCGGCGTGAGTTTCAAGCCACCAGGTCCAGGACTCGAACCGTGGTCGACTACGTGGGAGTCCAGCGACATAGACATTACGCTAACTGCTGGTCCCGGTAGGGACTCTTGAGACTGAGGCCCCACATTGGAGGAACTGTGCCTCGACGTGAGCAACCTCTGTCTCCTGGGTCACCAGTGCGATGCTGCAGAGTCCCTGAGGCCTGTTTGTTCTGAACTAGGTGGGTGTGACATGGCTGGGTGTGATGTGGCTGGCTGAGAGCAGACATCTGGCTGGTTTGGCCTGGGGCATCTCTCGTGACATGGAGTACTGGATATCTATTTATTATTAAGAATTATTTAATTAATTTTATTTACTATTATTCTTCAACTTAATGAGAGAGAGAGCTACCAGGTTCTGGACTTGAACTGTGGTCAACCATGTGGGAGTCCAGCACCTTAACCACCATGTCACCTGCCAGCATGGATTATTGCCTGTTTTTAAAAAGTATGGCCACTGGAGTGAGACGGAGAGAGAGAGAGAAAGAGAGAGAGAGAGAGAGCAGGAAAGTGAGAGAGCACCCCATGGGAGTAGCACCCATTTTTGAAAAAGCTTTGCTATAGAGTACGTGTGCTTGCCAGGGACACAGGGAGAGGGAGACAGAGAGAGAGAGGGCACCCCTGGGAGATGTCACACCACAGTGCCTTGTCCTCCATTCTTCTCTCAGCATTTGGGCACGCGTGTGCACTCGGTGTTTTCCAAGCCGCTGAGTCCGGGACTTGAACTGTGGAGTTGCCTGTGTGGGATCCAGTGCCTTAACCTCCACTGCACCTGCTGGCACATGCCCATGTCCAGGGTCATCTTTTCCCCCTCCTAGGCTATATTGCTTCATTTTTGAGCCTTTATTTTAAGCACTCGTACTTTTCAAGCTTTGTTTCTCTGTGGTTTCCACCGTAGGCCCCTGTGGCGTTTCGGTCAGCTGACTGACTGACTCCCAGGAGGGCTGCGGGCCGTCACGCTCAGTCCTCGGCAGCTCAGCGCCCTGGCAGCGATGGCGTTTGTGTTGAAGCTCACTGAGTTACTGTACTCTAGGGCTCAGCACTCATAACCCACGCAAAGATGGCACCCAGGTACTAGAACGTTGACGACAAAGTTGTACCTGATTTAAGGACTACAGTTTTTACAGCGTCAGTGTCTTCTGTCAGGCATACGGTTCTGTTTTATTTTGTTGATACTTAAAAAGGTAGGTAGGTGTGTACAGTTGCAGGCTCTGTGTAGTCCGCAATGTGGATTCCGTTTCTGGGAAATAGCGTAGCATTTACTCTGCACATAATCAACTTTATTTTAGCAGAGCAGGGCTACTCTGTCCCTCCCCACGCCGAGGGCAGATGCACTGAGGTCACAAAGGCCTGGGTCCATTTCTGTCTCTCCTAAAATTCAGGTGTTTTCAGGGAGTCCCTAAGAGTCAGTGTGAAAGGAGTGTCTTTGCCTGGACCTCCCAGGAGCAGCCAGATCAATGCACCCTGAGCCTCACTGCCCAGAGGTTGACCCGCCTCGTTCCAAAGGGAGCACTGAGCAGGTCACCAAGATGAGACTGAAATAACCTGGACCCTTAGGAGAAGGCCGTGGAAATCCACACGGCTGGAGATCGTCAGTTAGAAAACACACACCGAGCCTCAGAGCTCCGGTGCTTTTAGGTGTGCCGCGACGCGACCGCACCCGCAGAGGTCACTGCAGGGTTAGCAGCTAGCGGCTGTCGGCTCTGTTGGCAGGGAGAGGACAGGAGCATGCCTCATGTCGCAGGGAGGATGACCTAGAGGCGTCTGCATGATGGGAGCTTCTGGGATTGGCTGTGTTAGAGCTCGGTGGTGTAACTGACCCCTGGCCTTCCCGTGGCGGTGCCCGCTTTCCTCAGCACCCTGACCCCAGGCCTGGGCTCCCAGCTCAGGATCTCGCCCGGCTGCCTCCGTTCTGGGTGGTGTGTGGCACGTGGGGACGGTGCAGGACCAGGCAGCCCGTGTCCTGGCCTCCCACGGCCCTGCAGAGACCTACGTGTACCTGTGCTTGGTCCTTGTCACCAGGGAGAGGAAGGGGAGCTGCTGGCTCCATCCTCAGCGCCGACTTCTGGGCTTTAAGGGATCAGGGTCCCTGGATTGCGTGGACTGTAGCTGGAAAAAGTGGAGATTCTCCTTGTTTATCGATTGATTTTGGAAAGCAGAGGAGGGGTGAGGGTGCTGTGAGGTAGGTAGTTGCAGCGTCTGCACGTGAGTATTTCATCCGCAGCATCTCCGCGGCTCCCGCCTGTGGGTCCCGCTCCTCCAGGCCAGCCCCTCGGCCCTCGGAGCTTCTCAGAGGCCTCTGCCTGGGGCACAGTCCTGCGTGGCCGAAGGTGGGGCCATGCTGAGAAGTGCCCTGCAGTGATCTCGCGGTGTGGACAGCACAGAACACACGCAAACCGGATCCATGGCCCTGGCACCCTGGGTGGCAGGGGCCGTGTCCACGGGCATCTCGCGGGCACAGTCAGACGCGCAGCCCGTGCTGGCTGGCAGTGGCTGGCCACGTGGCTCTCTCCCCTTTGGAGTGTTCACCCCCTCCTCCCGCCGAGCCCTCCTGGCTGCTAACGGCTGAAAGCGCCCTTGCTACAGACCAGATTCGACCCTCCTCGCTTTCATTTCCCTCCCCATGGGGGGCCACGCTGGGGAGAGGGACTCCTCACTTTCCCATCTCCTCCGTCTCACCCATCCATTCTGGCTCCAGCCCACAGTGGCCCCTACGCACGAGATCTGGACCGTCCCCGGTCCTTGCCTCCGACCCTTTCCTTCCCTGACGCGTTCTCTTCCTTTGGCAAGACACTCCCCTTCCTGGCCTTCCCGGCCTCTCTGAGCCCTCGTTCTCACCACCAACACGCCGAAAAAAGCCCAGGTCTCTCTGGGCGCCAGCACACCCCTGCCTACGGAGCTGGTCCTCCTGTCAGCTGTTCCGTGACACCGGAGTTAGCAGAGAGCCGCGGTCCCCGTCCCCACGGCCCACGGCCCACCGTGGCTCTCCTGCTGGCTGAGCTGGTGCGCCCCAGCCACCCAGTGAGACTGGAGAAATGAAGCAGGGTTTTCCCGAGACGGCCGCTCTCCACCCTCCCTGTCCAGTGGCCTCACTCCGTCTCCTCCCTCCTAGCTGAGTGTGGTCTCTCCGCACCCCTGTCTTCCTCGCGGTCACGGACTCCTCCTGGCATAAGCTCCCAGCTGGAGTTCAGCCCCGTCCCTGCTCTGGTGGAGACTGTCCTGTCGCTGACGCTCAGGCGCTCCGGGGCCTGGCCTGCTTCCGATTCCTGCAGTTGGTGGCAGCCCCGTTCTCGAGGAAGGCTCGACTGCTTGTCCACGCGGTCGAGCTCTGTGCTCCCACTCCTCCCTCAGTGTCGCGTGGTCGTGTTGGGCATTGGGTGTGACTGGAGCGGTTGTTGTCTTCCCGTCACTCTCAGCTTCCCCGGGCCACGTGTGTACCTGCTAGGGCCAGCGCGGCCCCTCGGAGGGTCGGAGTGGCTGTGTCCTCTTCTTTGTCGAGTGAATTAATGTGCTGATGATATTGCAATGATCTGTGTTTTTGAAAAGCTTGTTTTTTTGCGATTCGAACATGCCTTACAATTTTATTCGTTATGAGTACTTTCCTGTACGAGCTTTGGAAGGCGGTGCCCACACAGCCTCGGCCTCAGTGTGTCAGGAGTTGGAGTAGCAGAGGTGCATGGCTGGCCGTGTGGGCACCGGGGCTGGGCCGTGTGGGCACACGCCACCTGTCTCCAGCCCGACTCCAGCTGGCACATCATTCCAGGCCGGCGGTAGAGCTGCTGGGCCTTCAGCCTCTGCCCTTCCCACGGCCAGAGTGCATTCCCAGCCTACCTCGGGGGTGGGTGTGCGCCCGCCTTCCTGATGACGGGTGGCAGGTCCTGGCAGGTGACCTGCTTACCGCCCCCTTGCCCTCGATGTTAGGAGGCAGGCGCCTCTGGGGCCCACAGGGGACGTGCAGTGCGTGCCCTCGGCCTGTGTCACCGCAGCCCCATCGGCCTCCCCGGGGCAGGGTATAACAAGAGTGGCCCCTGGGAGTCTTTCTCTGGCCATGGAGCCACAGATTCTTGGTGCCTTCTGCCGTGAGCCTCGGGATCCGGGAGGGGTAGCTGGGGAGAGCGAGCACCCTGCTGCCCGTGGAGAGGCCTCAGGCTGTGGGGGACGGAGGGTCACCCCCGGTTACAGGGATCTGTACCTGCTGACCAGAGGCGTCTAGAGGGACCACGTCGCTGCCCTTTAGGGGCGAGATTTATAGTCTCTCTGGAGCAATTGTGCCCAGCAGGCCGGCAGTGCACGGGTGGAGCCCACGGTGACAACATGGAGCAGACGCAGTTCCGTGTCCGGGAAAGCTGCATGCGAGCCTGTCCTAGCGCCCTCTCGAGAGCTGCGTGACTTCATGTGCTTTTGCTTTTCTAAAGGAGTCTGACATTGGTCGCCGGTGGATAATTTAAATCATGGTGTGTTTCCTCCCTAGGCCCCGGCCGAGATGGTTGGCGAGAACGAGGAGATATGTGACGACACCTCCAGTCTGGGGGGCACCGAGGTGAGCTGATTCTATCTTGTCCCGAGCGGTGTGGACGAGGCCTGGGCACACGGGATGGAGCCCGGGTTTGGTGGCACCGTGTAGGCGGTGTCTGTGGTGGGCAGCCCGCGGTGGTGGGCGGTGTCCCGGGACACCGTGTGGTCATGTGGTGTGGGAGCTGGCGCTCTGTCCCCGCCGGGGGCTCTGGCGGCCTCCTGTCTGGCACCACCCGCAGCACCACGCCCGTCCTGAGACAGCACTGACTCACGCGGCTCCCGTGGGGAAGAGACGGACGTCACGGTTTGTTTTCCGAATTCTGTCTCTGGCTTTTTCTTTCCAAGGAAGGGTCTTGTTTTAAGTGTCAGTCTCAGGCAGTGACCGTGTGCCAGGTCTAAGATACCTGGACTGTCCCTGTGTCCTCGGGGGGCAGAGGTGAGCTGGGGACAGCCCACAGTGGCCACTTACTTTGCAGCTTGTGCTGAGCTCTGTGGCCTCATACCCGTGGCTTGTGAGCACCTGGGCACTCAGTGCTGCCCTCTGCCCGACTTGGAAAGGGGCATGGCTGGGGAGGAGGTGCTCCGCTAAGGGTTTCTGCAGGCTTTTTTTTTATTTTTTGCTATAGAGCGCATGCGCTCCTGGACTGAGGCAGGGAGAGGAAAAGTGATTTCTCACCTCCCAGGAGGGATGGCCATGCTGCACTTCCTTCTCCTCCATTCTCCTTTTGGGGTTTTGGGCATGCTTGCCACGTGTGCCTGGTCACATGTTTCACGTCACCAGTTCTAGGACTTGAACCTCGGTTAACCATGTGGGAGGCCAGCGCCTTAACTGTCATACCACCTGCTGGCCCCATTATTCACTTTTCTTTCTTTTTCTTTTCTTTTCTTTTCTTTTTTTTTTTTAAGAGGATTTTGCCTGAAGACTCATGTGCTTGCCAGAGAGAGACAGAGACAGAGACAGAGAGTGAGAGGGGACATGAGAAATCACCCCCAGGGGGATGGCTATGCCATAATCCCTTCTTCTCCATTGTCCTTCTGTAATCTTGGGCATGTGCCAGGGGGCACGCATGCACACACACACACACACACACACACGCACACACATGCACACACACACACACGCCCAGTGCGATTTAGAAGCTACCAGGTCCAGGACTCCTACTGCGGTTGGCCATGTGTGAGTCCAGGAATATTACCACTGCGCCATCTGCCGGTCCCTCCATTGTTTAGTTTTAAGGAACATGCCAGGAGCTTTTGATCTAAAGCAGTGAGGGGCCAGCAGGTGGCATGGTAGTTGGGGATGTGGGACTCCCATATGGCTGACTGTGGTTCAACTCTCGGACCTGTCAGTTTGCTTTCTCACTTTCTTTCTCTCTCACTCTGTCCCTCTTTGGTCAGATTAAAAACAAATAAATAAACAAACAAACAGATAAATTAAATTAAATAATAAGAAAAAAACAATTAGTATTTTTTTTTGGAGAGGTTTTTGCTATAGGGCGCGTTTGCTCTCCAGACAGACAGACAGAGACAGAGAGACAGAAGTCAAGAAATCACCCCCCTGGGGGATTGGCCACACCATGATCCCTTCTCCATTCTCCTCTCGGGATCTTGGGCACACTAGCACATGCGCCTGCTGGGTCCGAGACGCGAACCGCGGTCGACTATGTGGAAGTCCAGCGACATAGCCATTATGCTAACTGCTGGTCCTGAATAAAACCAATTCTTAAAGCAGCCAGCGAGAGCATGCCTGTGAAAGTGTGCTTCTGAAATGGTTCTGGCTCGGAGGCAGTCCACATGAACCGTGCCCTCGGCCCACCTGTCCCCCACCGGCTCTGGAGCCCACGTCCCTCCCTCCAATGACGCCTTCAGGTCCCCCCATTTCTGCCACAGAGTGCAGGCGTCGTACACCCTGAGCGGAGCTTCTGTGCCACTGCCCTTCTGAGAGCCCGTGGCCTTCCTGGCATAGCCCGAACCCAGGTGTCTGACCTATGTCAAAGCTTCGGAGGAAGGAGGGTGACAGGGGCCTGCCACAGCGTCAGTGATGAAGTGGGGCTGGGGCAAGCGGAGCCAGTGCTGTCTGGTCAGAGCCGTGCACCCGCTCACACGCGTGGTCCCCGCTCACACACGCCGTCCTGCTCGCACACGCCGTCCCGCTCACACACGTGGTCCCCGCTCGCACACGCCGTCCTGCTCGCACACGCGGTCCCTCCCCGCTCGCACACACCGTCCTGCTCGCACACGCCGTCCCGCTCGCACACGTGGTCCCTGCTCGCACACGCCGTCCCGCTCACACACGTGGTCCCCGCTCGCACACGCCGTCCTGCTCGCACACGCGGTCCCGCTCGCACACGTCCTGCAGCTCCTCAGGCCACTGCTGAAAGCAAGCATCCCTGAGAAAGGGGGGATGAGGAGCGTCAGGGACTCATGCACCTCACAGAGAGTGGCAGAGCCGGGCTTGAGCCAAAGCCTGTGTGTTCTCCCCGGGAAATGCGCTGGCTTCACATCCCCTGGGACACATGGGTGTCGACTGTGGGCTTCACGATCCGTCCCTCACAGGCGGCCCCTTCGGCAGTGCCGGGTGTGTTTTCACAGCGTGTGGGATTCTAAAACCACCTAGATCTTCAGGGCCCACACCCTCCGTGGCTGACCCGCACAGGTCGGCGGTGGTCTGTCCTTGGCCTGGAACTCCCCGTGGAGGTGAAGGTAGTCCTCCCTAAATCCCCCGAGTCCCAGGGCACCTTATGTGTGCTATAGTGGCCAGGAACACTGAAGGTGTCCTCCGAGGAGCTGCCGTGGCCGGGCAGCCCAGTGACTCCTGTCTGCCCCCTATAAACGGGCCTCACTTGGCAATTCATTCTCATGTTCTTTGACACACTGGTCACTTGGCGTGTGTTTGATATTGGCTGTATTAGCATGTTTAGGCCTGGATCGTTGGCGTGGCCTCCCCACAGTGGCCTGTGACTATGGGCCCAGAGCTCATTTTCGCGCCCCTCAGTGTCTGACTTGTGGCAGGTGTTTCATAAATGTCTGTGGATTTGCTTCGAGTTCCCTGTGACTAAGTTGCCTAAAGTGAAGTGTGTAGTCTTGGGGTGAAAAGGTAGCCAGCTTGCGAAGTTTTAAGAGAGCATGTTGTTACGGACGCGATTTAGAAATATAGGGACTCAGGGGGCAAGGCCTTTAATAGACACGACAATGGACGACTATCCATTGGTGGTAACGCGCGTGGTAATCAAAACATAGATGAATCAATAAGCCCAAATATTTGTTATGTTTCTCATGTTTGGGCACAGGGTTTCTGCGGTCTTTTCTGCATTGTTTGTGGGAAATACAGATAAACAAACCCGCGCTCTGGATGGGAATCCAGTGTCTAGCACGCCCACGGGACTGCCCAGCAGCTCTACCTAGACAGAGGGCTGTCCCGCCCAGTACTCGCTCCTGTCCCTGCCTCCCAGCCTGGACGCCGCGTCATGTCTGGCACTTAAAATAGTCCCAGAGGAGGGAACGGCCAGGGCCTGTGGGATGCGTGGGTCCTCTCGGCCCTCCCTGGGGTTCCCAGAGCGTGTCTGTCTCGCCCTGGCTATGCCCACGGCGCACTGGGAGCCAGCAAAGCCCGGCAGAGCCAGCTGGGCCGCGCTTGATGTTCCGGCCTGCCTCTGACCGTGCTCACACTCCGGCAGCAGTTTTCCTCTTAAAAATGGACACTGCACCTTAACTGCATCATGTGATGAGCCCATGGGGGACAGTGCAGACGAGGTGCACTCGCCCTCACTTGGCCCTCACATCTTAGTTTCTAAAAGCCACATAAATGATTTAATTCAAAGCCCAATAGGAAGAAAGGCAAATGAAGTAAAAAGGAAATTCAGAGAGAAGAATATAAACCTCCAAAGACATGAGAAAATACATCCACATTATAATTTAAACAACGTAAATAATAAACAATGAGGTTTCCTTCTCTCCAGATCAAATTCACTACATCCAGTGATGAATACATCCAGATTAAAGATGTATTGAATTGGGCCAGCAGGTGGCATGGAGGTTAAGGCGCTGAATCCCACGTGGCTGACGCTGGTTGAGTCTCAGACCTGGCTGCTTAAAAGCCACGCTAGGCACGTGTGCATGTGTGCCCAAGATCCCACGAGGAGGACAGAGGAGGGGGGCTGCCGTGATTGCTCACTTTCCCTTTCTCTCTCTCTGTCTCTGTCTGTCTCTGGCAAGCACGTGTGCCCTATGGCAACAATCTTGAAGAGAAACCCTTAGTAACAGTCCCCTTCTCTGCAGATAGTCACGCACTGTATGAAAAGTCTTCAGTAGCTCATGGAAAATGTGTATTATGAAGAAGCGATGCATGGATTTTTTTTTTTTCCAAAGTAAACTTGTATTTTAATTCTATTTTCTGCAAACTGTTTGATGTCCTCTCCTATTTCTGTGTGAATATAGATGCAGGAAAGCAGTGATGTGTCTCACTAAGGTCAATGTATACATCGGCATTGCCTTCTAAAAGGGAGTCTAGCTCTTTCTATTCAAAGTAAACATGCGCACAGCTTTTTAAATCATCGTCTCAACAGCTAAGACTGTCCGATGACTGCAGTGTTAGCGGTGTGCATTCCCCGGCAGGGCGGTGTGATTCTAGTGCTGAACGGAAGCCCTTCAGGTGCATGCGGCACCGGAGGAGGGGAGGAGGGGGCCTCCAGACTTGCTATCCCTAGTGGGAAGACGGGGGAGCAGCAGGGGACAGGATATGCTGCTTTGGTCTGGAAATGTTTGATGAGCTGCGTGTGAGCACAGAGGATGGAGGACAGGGAGGGCGAGTACCCACGGAATGCAGGGGTCGGAGGGACGAGGCGGTGCCGCGGTGGCCAGGACGGGCGTGTGCTTGGCCTGGATGTCACAGAGTCAGTCAGTGCCATTCCTGCCGGGAAGGGAGGTGACCTTGCTGTGAAGGGAGTAGAGACGGGGCTGTCTGCCCACATAATAGCAGAGAGCCAATTGCCCTCTTTCTTTTTCTCTCGTAGGTAAAAGAAGAGGGAAGGCTTTATGACGACCCCGAGAGGAAGGTTTGTACCAACTATCTCTAATTTTGTGTTTGCTATTCTTTGTTTTTGGAGAGGTTTTTGCTATAGGGTGCATGCGCTTGCCAGACAAACAGAGAGAGACAGAGAGATAGAAAGTGAGAAATCATCCCCCAGGGAAGATGGCCATGCCGCAATCCCTTCTCCTCCATTCTCCTCTTGGGATCTTGGGCACGCACGCACATGCGCCCGGCGTGAGTTTAAGCCACCAGTTCCAGGACTTGAACCACAGTCGACTAAATGGGAGTCCAGCGACATAGCCGTTATGCTAACTGCTGGTCCCTTGTGTTTGCTGTTCTGAAGCCAGAGCTCACACGGGGTCAGGGGACCCCCCCGTCTTGTCAGGTGCTTGTTGGAAACGTACTTTCATGCTCTGTCACACACCACCACACCCTGCTCCCTGGAGCGAGGCGCAAACTCCGAGGGGAAATATGCCATTTCCATGTAGGCAGAGGGGCCGCTGGGAAGGCAGCTGAAATGCAGGCAGGTGCGGTGGGAGGTGAGCGGGGCATGGCTCCGGGGCCGTGGCCAGCACAGCTGGGGGCCCTTGTGCAGGGCCACACCTCAGACTCCGCCACTGGGCCCAGGAAGCGTCAGTGTGGCAGCATCTCACCTGGCAGCCAGGTGTCCCAGCTCCGAGTGCCCCTCCCTGTGGACCCCGCGGTGGGGAGACCTTGGCTGTGCAGTGCACTGTCATCTGTTTGGTCCCCATTTCCCTCCAATCCCTTGTCACGCCGTGAAGAACGTGGGCCGTCGACACTGTCCCAGAAGGTTGCCTGGTCAAAAGCAGCCTGTGGCAGACAGGGGGGTCTGACATCCGCTTGACCGTCGGGCCAGTGCTCTGTCACCAGCTGTGTGTCGTCGGGAACATGTCTTAAAGTCTCAGAGCCTCCCCTTCCTCCTGTCTGAAGTTCGTTAGATTGTTTATATCGAAATCAACCACCGGGGTTAGAATATGTACCAAGTAGGCATGGTGTTTTATTTTTATTATTAGAGATACCCGATTTGCCAGAGTCCTGGCCACGTCCTGGCAGAGGGCACACCCAGCCACAGCTCCGTGTGTGTGGATCCGAGTGGGCGGATGTGCAGGCTTTGCAGAAGGGCTCCTCGCTCACAGCAAGGTGCCCTTTCTCAAGTCCCTTAACCTCTCTGCGCTGGATTAATTCCACCCACGATTGTGTTACCTGTGTGTACATTTGCTCACCCGCTAGGAGTCATTGAGACGATAGATGGCCAAGTTTCCGTAAAGTAGAACGTATCTGTGTTTCGATGGTCTTTGTGCTTAAATTCGGTAATGATGGCCCACATTCCTCAGCTTGATATTAAACACGCACTCCCACCCGGAACTCCCTCGTCGAAATCGGCGTGATCAGTTTTGTGTCTGGCATTCAGTGCTCTGAAGCTCTCAGCAACTATGCTATGTGCTCTGCTGGAGAAGCTGCCCTGGGCTCTTCGGGAGTGCTGAGCATAAGTAAAACCTGGCTTTCATGTCGAGCGCCTGGAGAGTGCCCCCTCGTCTGCACATGCGTCACTCTTTTCATCAGACTATTTTACCAAACGCCACGCAAGGAATGAGGGGGCACGGGGCCATGCGATCCGAGTCTGGAATACAACGCCGTTGCTCTGAGCCTGTCTCCTCTGTAAACCGGGAGCCTTCCGTCTTGCGGAGTTAGTGCAAGAATGGTAAATATTCAGAAAGTGCCTTCTTTGGTGGTGGGGGCGAAATTGCAGCTATTGCTATTATCCTGCTGTCGAATCAGGATTCTAACAGGCTTATTAGCACTTTATTAAGATTAGAACGTATTTCTATGGTGTTTTTTAGCATCACACACACAATACCTAATGCACATCATCCTCAACTCTATTTTTAAATTAGAGTTTCTCCTATGGCATTGCACTTTCATTTTCAAGTTTAAAGTACTTTGTTGACTTATAAACCGTTTATGTTTATTATAGAATTATTAGCAAATACACCTGAGAGAAAAAGAGAAAGTAAATATACGACTGGTGTGCTCATATCTGTTTTCACTTTCGTGTGTTTTCTCTAAGATGTTTTCCGTTTTTTGTGTACGCATTAAAAGGATCATGCCTTTGGAGGTAGATAGAAGAATCTAAAAAATACTACGCATCAGTGCCGAAGATATTTTCACCATTTAAATATTTTTAAAGGTGCTTCAGAATGTTGATTTATTTGTTTGAAATTGATATAAACTTTTCTTTTTTTTTTTTTTAAAGATATTTTGCTATAAGGTGTATATGCTTGTCAGAGAGACAGATAGACAAAATGTGAGAAATCACCCCCCAGGGGAGATGGCCATGCTGCAATCCCTTCTCTTCTTAGAATCTTGGGCACACATGCACACATGCCTGATGTGAGGTTTAAGCTGCCGGTTGTAGGGCTCGAACCATGGTCGGCTACATGGAGTTCAGCAATGTAAACGTTACACCATCTGCTGATCCCTAAACTTTTCTTTCTTTCTTTTTTTTTTCTTCCTTTTTTTTGGAGAGGTTTTTGCTATAGGGCGCGTGCGCTCACCAGAAAGACAGAGAGAGACAGAGAGACAGAAAGCGAGAAATCACCCCCAGGGGGGATGGTCACGCCGCAATCCCTTCTCCTCCATTCTCCTCTCGGGATCTTGGGCATGCATGCACACGCGCCCGGCCTGAGTTCTCAGCCGCCGGGTCCAGGATGCGGACCGCGGTCGACTATGTGGGAGTCCAGCGACATAGCCATTATGCTAACTGCTGGTTCCCCCCTAAACTTTTCTTTTCAAGTAAAACTGCCATTCAGGTTAAAAACAGCAGCACCAAGGACGAAATAACGTGTGAATCGTGTTGGTGCGGAATTCTCCCAGAGCCGCGTTGCCAGTTTGCTTCTTGAGCATCATCTGTTCTGATTATTTTATGTCAAAGCAGGATTTAAAAAAGGCAGACTTGGGGCCAGCAGTTAGCGTAACGGCTATGTCTCTGGACTTCCACGTAGTTGATCGCGGTTCGCGTCCCAGACCCGGTGGCTTAAACTCACGCTGGGCACGTGTGCATGCGTGCCCAAGATCCCGAGAGGAGAATGGAGGAGAAGGGATTGTGGCGTGGCCATCCCCCCTGGGGGGTGATTTCTTGCTTTCTGTCTCTCTGTCTCTCGTCTCTCTTTGTCTGTCTGGTGAGCGCACGCGCCCTGTAGCAAAAACCTCTCCAAAAAAGGGTAGACTTATATTTTTTACTGGAAAAATATTAGCTTGATTTCTCATTAAGTCTAAGTTTTTTTTTTTTTTTTTTTTTTTGAGTTTTTTGAGAGTGTTTTGCTATAGGGAGTGTGAGCTCATCGGAGGGACACAGAGAGAGACAGAAAGCAAAAAACCACCCCCGGGGGGATGGCCATGCAGCAATCCCTTCTCCTCCATTCTCCTCTCAGGATCTTGGGCACACACACATGCCTGGTGTGGGGTTTAAGCCACTGGGTCTGGGACTTGAACCATGGTCAACTACATGGGAGTCCAGAGACGTATGCCATGTGCTGGTCCCAAGTCTAATTTTTGATTATATGAAAAACTAAGAGCGACTTAAGCAGAAAAAAAAATTACAGTGAAATGGTGGGCTGTTGGGAAAGTCATGACGCATTTTTGCATGGAAAACACAGAAAAATACGTCATGGTTTTCCAGACAACCAAATGGATGGGATGGTTTACTCACTAACAGTTTAACCATTTAAACTAAGGTGACGAGCCTGAGCTCTAGATGTCACTCACCTGTCGTCCTGTCCCTGACGGACGTAGCTCCGGGACGTGCGCTAACGACACGCTCTGAGCACGGGTGTGCACGTGCTCCCCTCCGCATCGTCGGGTACCGCGAACACAGCGCTGTCTGATGCACGTGCAAGACAGATGGCCAGAGTGACAAGTTCCAGGCGCAAAGTGTGAGAAGATGAGCCGATCATTGCACAAAACTTTAAAAGGCTTCAAAAATCAAGTGTAGTTTTGATTAATAATAAATGTCTTACTAGGAAAGCTAAAAAGTACCTCCCATGCGATGCTGAGCACGCACGTTTGCAGCCTGTGCAGTGGCTGCCCCTCGGGGACGCCAACGCCGACTCAGTAGGCCACGTGCGGCCCTCAGCACGCTGGAGGCAGCCCGGGACCCGGGAGCTCCCGAATTGGATGTCCTCCTGCCATGGAAACAGCAGATTCCATTTGCCTTGGAAGCAGGTAGACTTTGGCCCATTGGAGAAGCCAGAATGCCAGAGTGAAAAATGACCAAGCCACATGGATGGAACTCAGGTGTGTTATTAAATGTATTCCCTAGAATATCTGTAAACTTTAAATACATACATACTTACATATATATGCCACACATGAATAGAACTAAATGTATCCCCTGGAATACCTGTAAACTTTAAATACATACACTCACGTGCATATATACACCCATATATGTGTGTGTACACATACATACATACATTTATACTATGCAGGTAATTAGTGTCACTTGTTCAAATGAAACCTGGGTGCCTACAAACTGAGGACTTAGGACTCCAGTGCGGACTGAGACTCGGCGCGCCACCCGACCTGGCAGGACAGTGTCCAAGTCCTTTTGTGCTCAGTCTGCAGATCTGCTGTGAGCTAGAATCAGTGGAGGAGACCCTCTCAGTGGCGAGGGTCTTTTCCATGGTGAGTAGTAATGTGTTTTGACAAGTTTATCATTTGGTCTTCTTGACCAAAAACATTCTGTTACTAGTGTTGGGTTATTTGAGGCAGAACAAACGGTGCCCAGGCGAGAAAAGGCAGGTGTGTGGGTCTTACCTGTGCAGGTGTGTGTGGTTCTACCTGGCAGGCCATGAGTCCTCCTCCGGCCTCGACTCCCAGTCTTTCTCTGCACCGGGTCTGGTCCCAGCTTCTCGTAGAGAAGTGCCATAGGGCAGGGCCAGTGCGACGCTGGCTTTTCTGGTGTGTGTCTCAGTGTTGTGTGGCCTCCCTCCCAGGAAACAGCCC